ATCTCTTTCTATATTGACATGTTCAAATGATTTAGATTCATTTTTTTGTATAAAAATTTAATTTTTTGAAAATAATTAACAAAATCAGTAATAAACAATATTGTTAATTTAATTAACGTTGCAAAATAATATAATTGATCAAAAAAGTGATATATACAAAAAAAGTTTTTTATTTAAGTAAATTTTCACTGTCACTTTCACTGATTCTAATTTTCATTTACATTTTTACTTTTACTTTCACTTTCTCTTTCACTGATTCTAATATTCATACATATTTTTATTTCCGTTTCCACTTCCACTGTTTTTGGAAATTAATGTAAGTAAAATGAAATTAAGAATGAAAATTAGAATTAGTGGAAGTGAAAGTGTAAGTGAAAATATTATTAGAAATTAGACTTTGTAAAATGAAAGTTAAAGTTCAAATGAGAGTGCCAATTAAAATCAGTGGAAGTAAAAGTAGAAGTAAACAAGGAGGGGGTCCTTTATGTTTATTTCATAAACATTTTGCTTCCTCATTGTGTGAAGCAAAAAATTTACTTCTTCGTGGAGGAAGCTATGAATTTATCTATTTCAATTGCTTGATTTAAAACATTACGAGTTAAAAACTGATTTAAATTAATTAAATTTTTTGAAAAATTAAGAAAATTTTAATTCATTTTGGGTGTAATATATACCCAGATAGCACGGAAACTTGCAGCAAGCTTGCGGCAAGCTTACCGCGCAAGCTTGTCTGAGCTAGCGAAATGTCCCACCCAGGGCAAGCTTGCCGTAAAAGCTTGCTGCAATCTTGCCATGAAAGATTGCTACAAGATTGCTGCAAGCATACTAAGAATGATTGCGGCAAGCTTGCTACGTAAGGTTGAAGGAGAATTTCAACAAGCTTCTGGAAAGGTTGCTGCAAGATTGCTGGAATTTTTAAAAAATACATTTTAAATTAAAAAAATTTATTTGTTTTCTAAATTTGAAAATCCTTGTGACGTTTATTATTATTAATTATGTCCTGTTTATTTTCATTTGGAAACTTAACGAGAAAATTTTCGAAACAAATTTGAGGGGACTGGGAATTGAACCCGGGTTCGACAGACACTAACCAAAGACCCTAACCGAGAACCTACTCGACCAACTATCAGAGAATAAAAAAATCTTGCTCTTAACCCTCGACTATTTTTATGAGTTGAAAAACAGTTGAAAAACGGCGGGCTTTTTCAAAATGCTTTAAAATAGAAATTTTGTGTTTTCTATTTTATTTGTTAATTAATCAATGTTATTATTGTTATATTTTATGAAATTTATTTAAAATATGAAAATACTTATTGAAAAGATGAATAAAATTTTTTAAATGTATTAAACATTTGTTAATTTAATAATAATATTTATATATCTTATTATATACTTACTTTATTTATCATTTTAATTTCTAGTATTAATTGCCGTTATTTTTTCAATATACCATAATTTTTAACTAATTAAATTAATTTTTCATATTTTTTTAAATATTTTTAATTTTTTTTTTATAATTAATTTTTGAATTTTATATTTTTGGTTTTTTTTATTTTATTTATTATTAGGTTTTATTATATTTTATTATATTTTTTATTTATTTTTTATTATTGTTTTATTTATTATTAATTATTTATTATATTTTTATTGTAATATTTTATTATATACAAAATAATACCAAAAAATAAATTAAAAATATTTAAAAAAATATAAACTTAAATATAATATAAACTATAACTTTCATTAATTCTTTAAATTTCAATTAAATCTATACTTTATATATACCAATCGATTGGTCTTGATGTAAGGAAGACGATTATATTATATATTATCTTAAATATTTTTATTTAAAAAATTTTTCAATTAAAAAAATTTTTTTGAAAAAAAGACGATAAAATTTTCTTTTTTGGTATTTTTAAAAATCCTCTCGTCATTTTTGAGACACTAATGTGATAAATAAGCCTACTAAATTTTATCCAAATCTATTAAAACCTATTAAAGATATCGTGTTCAGGATCTCATATAACATGTTTCTATATAGAGGAAAATTTGTTTTTACCATGTTTAAAAATTTTATAAACGAAAAGACTACAAAGCTTCCTCCACGAGGAAGCAAAATGAAAGTGAAATTTAAAATCAGTAAAAGTGAAAGTGGAAATGAAATTAGGAGTAGAACTTAGAATTAGTAAAATGGAAATTAAAATAAAAAATTATAGTTAAAAATTAAGTGGAAGTAGAAGTGAAAATGAAAGTGAGAGAGAAAATTTGAATCAGTAGGTACAAATGGAAGTGAAAGTGTAAGTGAAAGTAAAAATGAAATTACATAATCGACCTGAGTTACAATAACTTTTTTTTTTGTAAAATAATTTCAATTTTTATTTTCTCACAATTTTTGAACAATACTAGTGTAAAATTCATTTTCCTTCCCTTTTTACAGCATTGATGTGATATTTTCAAAATTCAAAATAGCGGATCCAATATGGCGGAACTTAAAAAGAAAAAAATCACTCGAAAATTGTTAAAATCGAGGGGAATTTTTTATTCACCTACTACGAATCTGCAAAATTCAGTTCACACTGTTCAGTTCAGTTCACACTGCAGAAGAAAAGTGAAATAGATGGATTGAGAAAAGAAAATGTCAATGAGACAGGTGAGGAAACTTAAAAAGAAAAAAAAGTAAAAGAAAAACAAAATTTCGAGAGTTGGTGCCTGTCAGTCGACTATAGAGTAAAGTAAATCGAGGTGGCGATAGGCGGGCTAAAATAAACGTACGTCTTTCTAAAAGCAGAGGCCACTAGAGAAACCGTGTCGTGATTTACGCTAAGAACATGAAACTTTAAAAGAAACAAAAATCATCGAATCCCTTATTAAATGGTTAAAAAAAAATATATATATATATATATATTCAAAAATTTAATTTTTATATCTATATTTTAAAAAGAAAAATATTTGCTAATTTTAAAAAAAGGATATACCAATAAAATTACTAGTTCTCAAAAAATAATTGACGATGAAAACTGAAAAAAAAATTTTGAAAAAAAATTAATTGTCACCCCCCAAAAAAAATGAATTTTCATATATGTGGTTCAAAAGATACATAATATATGTATATGCATGAAACACTTAATCCTGACCTCAGAATATAAACAGATCTGACATAGTGCTACAAACGCGAGGCTTTGTACGGATATGAACTTGAAGTTGCTATGCCAGTTGATGATATTCTGGCTCTGAAATATTAAAAGACTTAAAGGAAGGCTCTGATATATATATATATATATATATATATATATATATATATATATATATATATAATTCGAATTTTCTTCTCTAATCAAATTGCAAAAATCAATAATTTAAAATATAACCAAAATATTTCGACACTAATTCTTCTTTAAATCTAAATCGAATGTTATTGTCTCGTAATAAAAAAAAAAGTTTAAGCACTAAGTGGATAATAAACTACATTGTAAGATACAAGGTTGATTCGAACATTTGTCGTTTCGCCAAAATCTATGATTAGCTTTTTCAACTAGGAACCTTTTTATATGAAGGGTCGAAGTGCTCGAGTACCCTAATAATATTATTAAAAAAAAAAGTTCACATCAAATATAATCATTGAAAAAAAAAAATTTTAACCAAAAGAATTTGGATTGTTAAATAGAAATAATTTTTCAAAATTAAAAAAAAAAAAATTTATTTTTTCAAAATTGAGTAAAAATACTTTTTGCGCGTATAATTTCGCAGAGAATAATATTTGATTTATTATAGGTCATCAACCTACATTAATGTTACGACAGTATTTACTTAGAATTTTGTATATACTCTCTGTGAAGTTTCAAATTTAGAAAAGTATCGATAATAATTCGTGTAGGAGTTTCCTTAATACATTTGAGATTGAAATTTATTACTGTTTTTATAAATTTCTTTTCGAATGATTCAAAAAAAAAAAAAAAAAATCTTTAATTTTATTCTTTTTTACAATATTTTCTGCTCCAAAATATAATTAATATTTTTAGAATTACCAAAATGATATTCTTCTTTGATCTGTTATCTTTAGGGATTTCAATTTATTATTGAATTACGAAATTTAATATTGATTGAATTTTAAATTTTATTTCAATCAAAAAGCAAAATTAAATGAATTTAATTTTACTCTGTAATAGCTTTTCTGTTCTCAATATTGATACAAATTTTTTTGGAAGATTATTTATTAAATTCCATGATTAAAATAGTTTAAGATTATTAATAAAATGAGAAACGAAAAAAGAGAACTTTCAAAATACTTTTGAGTCAAGAATTAAATATTTTTTTTTGTCGTTCAAAAATATTTCCAAATTCAAAAATTCGTGAGTGATTTAAAAAGAAAGGGGGGAACACTAAAAAAAGAAGCTTTTTTTTCCCCACAGCTTCACATAAATATATCCCAAAGGTAATTTCGTAATATGCAGAGAATGCCACTGAAAAACACCCACCGACGAAACGAAAGAACGGAGAGAACGGAATCGGATACCGCGACACAGGGCCGGCGAAAGATATCGCGTGAAGAGGAAAAACACGAAATTATCCTTTTTTTGAAATATAATAACAACATTTTTCATTCTCCAGATCTCTTATTGAATTTTCTAATCGATGAAATTGCGATAAAACGGAATTGTACCATGAACCCTAGACTCGGTCATTCAGACTCCTAACGGTTTTTTCCATTTTAACAATTAATTCGAACATTTTCCGTCACGTTTTAGTAATAATTTCAATATAATTGCGAGAAAATGGAATTGTGCCGTAAACCCTAGACTCGGTCATTCAGACCCCAAACGGTTTTTCCAGCCTAACAATAATTTGACCATTTTCCGTCAAGTTTTGATGATAATTTTAATGTAAATTTGTTTCTATTAAGGAATTATAGTAAAGGAACCTTTTTTTTATCCTTTTTGTCTCGTTGTTGTTTTACACTTGGGAAAAATTTGAATGTTGCACTTATCAATAGATACACTTACACCAATAAACGGCGACAAAATCCTTCTCATTGAGTAGTCGTTCGAGTTGTTTTGCAGTTACTTCCTCGATGACTGGATCAGCTTCCCTTTGACTTGATGCTCGTGCATAATCACCACCACCACCACCACTTCTTGTATGGCTTCCTCCTCGGGACGACGACGACTCATGCTGATCCTGTTTCACTCCACCCCTTGTGGTCGATGATGATAATGCCGCATCGCTTATACCACCCGCGTTACCTAACCAACCCACTGGTGTTAACACCAAAAACGCAATAAACAGCAATGTCGTTATCCTTGGTAAAGGATGATGTTGTCTTTTGCCACAGCACCGGCACCCGCACTGTGCCGTCGAACCGTCGTTCGTCGTCGACATCGCCGCACTGACTACTTAACGCGGCAACAGCCGCTGATCTATTTTTGACACCTTTGCTTTTCGGACACCGTCTTGGTGTGTTCTTCTTGGTCATCACACAAAAGGCGTATAGTCGACGAAATCACGATTTTCGGGTGGCAATGCCTCTCTCTCTCTCTTTCCCTGCACCACCGATACGCATCCAAAAACCCGCGCTTTATTTATAATGATAGGCTAAATATTTCAGAGCACACATACACACACACACACACATGCAATAAACATTCTGTGGATGGTAGAACATTTCCACGGACGTCTCAAACTTAAACCAAACGTCGTCGATTCGTTTCAAGTTCAACCTTCACGAGATGTTGTCGTGAAAATTGGCACTTTTCACAAAAAAATTTCGAGGGGAAATAATATTATACATTAATTAGCATGATTAAACAAGATTTTTGGAAAAGTAGAGAAAATAATGTTCTGATGATAATGCTAATGGTGTATTACCAATATTACGTCACATGATTTTGAATTATTTTAGCCCTCATCTATATAGTCTACGTCATGCATCGTCATGTGTGTGAGGTAATACTGACGTCATATTACGTAACACGTCCCATTAAAATGTTTATTAATGTGTGAAGCCAAAGAGAGGCGAGAATTTTATACTTTTGCTAAATTTAAAATTGATGGAGGAGAGTGAAGCCGATTAATGCCTTAATTTTGCAATATAGGATATAGTGTTTTCATAAATTTATGCTAATTATTTTTAAATTATGTGGTTTTAGTTCCTTAGGTTTTTTATGTATATTTTTTTCTAATAGCAATGTTAACGACCGTAAAGGTCAATCAAATTTTTAGGGGGTAAGAATTAGACGAGAAACAATGCAATATTTAATTTCTACTTCACACCCCTCCTTAAGCACCGTAAAGTTATACAAAAATGGATCCAACTTTGGACAACGAAAACTTGTAGAATTGGGCTTATATTTTCCAAATTTTCAAACCGTAAAATTGCCCCAGCTCCTTTATTCAAATAAAACGAATTTTTGTAATTATCCCAAAGAAAAATCTTGAAAAAACCGATTTTTTACGTTTGGACACAAAAAATGTTAGCAAATATCTATTATTTGCAAACTTTTCTAGTTTATAAACGCTGTACAAGGTTCTACTTACCTGTCAGTAATAAAAAAGAAAAAACAATTAAGAAGAAATATTTGTTTACTATATTATGAATTTGGAGTGAAAAATTAGTATTAGCATGAAAATAGAGAACATATAGAAGTCCTTAAAGAACATATAGAAGAGAGTTTAGAAACGATAGAAAACGGCAATGGCTTAGGCTATTGGTCTGAACAGGCAGGAGAAGCGATTCATCACCATTTCATGGAAATTTGGGAACCATACAAAATAAACAACATTGGAGATAAAAGATTCGCGACACAACTTTATAAGGCAGTGGTAGAATTGTCCTCGTTAATTTTGTGAGACATTGATGCACAATTACAAAATTTGTAAAAATGGCTTTATGTTTGTGTGAAAAAATGAACTTTTGTTGAATTTGTAAAATTAAATGTTTGTCAAAAGATATTAAATTAAAAAAAAAACATTTTTAAATAATTGATTTTTCATAATTGTAAACAAAGTTTTCTATCATGTTCTCTATTTTCATGCTAATACTAATTTTTCACTCCAAATTCATAATACAGTAAAAAAATATTTCTTCTTAATTGTTTTTTCTTTTTTATTACTGACAGGTAAGTAGAACCTTGTACAGCGTTTATAAACTAGAAAAGTCTGCAAATAATAGATATTTGTTCACATTTTTTGCATCCAAACGTAAAAAATCGGTTTTTTCAAGATTTTTCTTTGGGATAATTACAAAAATTCGTTTTATTTGAATAAAGGAGCTGGGGCAATTTGACGGTTTGAAAATTTGGAAAATATAATCCCAATCCTACAAGTTTTCGTTGTCCAAAGTTGGATCCATTTTTGTATAACTTTACGGCGCTTGAGGAGAGATGTGACTTTACATGTAGTTTTTATTACTAACTCACCATGTAAGAAAATAATGATTACACTGTAAAAAATATTGGAACTTTTGCCGAAAGAGTAGTAGGAACTTTTTCTAAAGTAAGTGAAAAAGAAGTTTTTCCGAATAATTGAGAGGAAATAGTTCCGAAAAAAGGGGGAAAAAATAGCTTATACCACTAAAAGTGGTATAAATACCACAACAGACTGGAAGTTATTCACCAACTTTTGGAAAAATTTCCGAACACGTCAGTAGTTGGAAATATTTCCGAAAAAATGGAAGAATTTCAATTTCGACAAAAGATTGGCAGGTATACATGAAGTTTCGGAAAAATTTTCCTAACATACTGGATTTTTAACCCTTAGTAGTAGGATATTTCCGAAAAAATAGGAGAAATTCATTTTCCATAAAAAATTGGAAGGTATTCACCAACTTTTGGTAAAAGTTCCAAACATGATGGATTTTTAACCCTCAGTAGTAGGAGATATTTCCGAAAAAATAGGAGAAATTCAATTTCCACAAAAGATTGGAAGGTATTCATCATCTTTTGGAAAAATGTCCGATAAATGTGGATCTTTATATCCTTTTGGATTATGAAATATTTTCGAAAAAAAGAGGAGAAATTCATTTTCCACAACAGACTGGAAGTTATTTATCAAGTTTCGGAAAAATTTCCGAACATGATGGATTTTTAACCCTCAATATAGTAAGAAATATTTCCAAAAAAAATGAGAGAAATTCATTTTTCACAAAAAATTTCACAAAAAATTCACAAAAACTTGGAAGTTATACACCAGCTTTCAGAATAATTTACGAGAATGTCGGAATTTCGATCTGCACTATTAGGAAATGTTTCGGAAATATGGGAAAATGCTGTTCCACTGAAATATTGTTTATTTTTATCACTTATTGTTAGGAAATATTTCCGAAATGAGAAGAAAAATATTTTTTTACTTTTTACAGTGTACTTCTTATCTGTTTGTGAAAAATTGATGCTTTAATCTCACACATTCCTTTTTTTGGAATTTATTTGAGGATCATGATTTTGATGATAATTTTTTCTATTTTAAGGACTTATATCCTTCTATGTTGTTAAAAGCTTTGAAAAGTATTAAAACCGAAGCACAAGGAATTGATGGTCTTTCTATAAGTGCAGTTATGAAGGCGATGCCGGCGTTTGTTTCCTCATATGCTTCATCTTTTCAATTTGCCCCTTCAGACATCTGTTTTTCCAGAAGAGTGAAATAGGGTTATTATTAAACCTGTGCCTAAGATAAAAATTCCACAGTAGCCTGGGGATCACAGACCGGTGTGTTCTATGTCAAAGGCTCTTGAAAAAATTGTCAATTATCAGTTGACTGAATTTATTGAGTCCAAGGATATTCTGAATCCTTTTCAGTCAGATTACATAAAAGGTTAAAGTACGCAGACTCTTTTGGTTGGTGCAACTGATGATATTTGTAGGGCAATTGATCAAAGAATGGTAACAATAATTTTTTTTCGATTTTAGTAAGACCTTTGAGATGGTACCTCATATTTTATTACTTTTGAAACGAAAATCTTTTGGTTTGTCAAATTCGATATTAAAATGATTTGCTTCATACCTGTCTGGCAATGTAAAAAGAAAGTACTAAGAATGTACCGATTTTAGGTATCAAAATAGAACCAAATGACAATTTAGTACCTAAAGTAGGTATTAAATTAATATCTTTCGTTTTACAGTGTGAAGAAGACAGGCTTTTGTGGGAAAAAGTGGAGAATTCTCTGATTAGGAATGCATTGGAATGGGAGTCCCTCAGGGATGTCCTTTGTTATTTAATCTTTTTACGGATGATTTGAGGAATGTTCTAAAATACTCTAAACATATGTACTTTGTAGATGATTTACAAATTTATATTCATTCTAGTTTAGATGATTTAAAGGAGAATCTTGTCTTAATGAATGAAGATGTAAAGTCAGTATGAAACTGGGCAATAACAAATATTCTTAGAGTAAATATTGATAAAACTTATTTGATGATTATTGAATCTACTTGGTCTTCAAATGGTATACAAAAAATGGGCAGGAACAGCTGATACCAGATGTCTTTTACGAGCTAACAGGAAAGTTGTCGAGCCTTGGTGATGAACACAGGTCCGGAGTTCAATTAACCGTGACGGACACCCCAAAAAATATAGTTCTTCCGGAAAAAGAAGAAAAGGTATTTTCCAAATATTATAAAAGAGTTGAGTACTTGGATGATTTTTCTTAATCGAGAAACTTCTTCTATCACGTTGATACAAAAATTCTTCTAAGTCCAATTAAATATAAAATTGGGCACAGTAGCAGTACTTTATAAAATTTGTACGAAAATAATGAGCTACTGGTATCAAAATCTGAACAGAACTCTCTTGGCATATGTGGTTCCTTTTATACAGTAATTTCACAAAAGAAGAAAAAGAATTTCTCAAAAATTGGGTTGTATTTTTTCAAATGATAATAAGGCTAGATGAAAATTATTTCAAATAATAATTATGGCAAATAATTTTTAGGTCAATCAATAATTATTTCAGATAAAGATGAGGCAAAAAAATTATTAGGTTACAGAAATTTTAGGCCAAGTGAGAATTAGGTCTGATAAATATTATGTCAAATAAGAATTAAGTACCATTAAGATTTGACCAAATGATAATTAGGACAAATGACGAATAGTCCAAATTGTGGTTAGATTGAAAGTACACTGAAAAAACACGTTGGTGGACAGAGTTACTCTCAGCATAGAACTGTCGTTCACTTTCACTGTTAGGTGAATCTTTCGCCTTTTTGAGCGAACAAATCGACTTTGCATGATGCGACTTTTTGCCTACAGGTGAACGAGTCACCCAAGATTGGCGGACATTTAGGACTTGAACTATTATATAGTGGCGCCGCTCATCTATGAGTGTCTTAACTGTTACGCCAAACCTTTTTCAGTGTAGTATAGGGCAAATAAAAATTATTTCATATACAGATTAGGCCAAGTAATAATGGTATGACTTTTAGGCCAATCGAATTCAGATTAATTAAGTGTTAGGCCATTTGAAATTTGGAGGAAATACATGCGGATTATTAAAAAATTATTTATTTATCATATGTGTACTGGACAATTTGGAAAGATTGAAAATTCTTATCAATAAGTATCGCAATAATATTATGGAATTGGAAGATTTTTTTCAAAATTTTCCAAGATAAGAGCTATTTCATTGTAAAGGATGGATTCACAATTCAAAAATTTTTCAAAACATATTGCATACGAAAAAGGGTTTATATCAACATTCAGTTTTGGTGAGTTAGTTTTTCGTGCAATTCGTCGGTTCACATACAATACATTTTACGACCCATTCAGTGGAGTAGTAACCAGCTAGTCCATTTGTATACCTTTTACGAACATCAATCTCACGTTGCATAACAAGGATCTTTATCTTTCTACACATACCAACTTTCTAGAGGAGGATTTAAACCACTAAAACAGAAGTATCTTAATTTAGGATATTTTGATACTGATGTTTTGATTGTAATTTTGATGGTTAATTTTTATTTATTTAGTGGATCTTTGTTAGTTAATTCAATTAATAATAGAAATGTGAAGAATCTTTATTTTCTGCATCGGATCAAATTTTTTGGACTCCACACTGCACAGCAATTATAAACTCAGACGGCGCAGCTTCAGTATAAATAGCTGCTAAATTGGAATATATTTAATAAAATTCGTAAAAAAAATTATGAGAGAGACAGCTAAATATATGTACAACATAATGTCATTCTTGTATTTCATTTGAATAATTTTATCCTCTTTCAAAAAAAAAAAAAAAATTCCCGAAAAGAACATTCTTTTTTAATTTTTATAAAAAATTTATAGCAAACTCAATGTTCTGATTTGAAAGAGTGAGATAATAATTTAACAGTTTCGTGATTTTTCATGCGTATGAAAAATAATATTACTCCGAAATATAAGCTTGGAATTATAAATAAATAATTAATTATTATTTTTTCGGTTGATTTTAAATCAGAAAGCTGAAAGCTTTTAATATCACAATCGATAATAAATTTATGATTCATTACGCGTTCCCTTAGCACATTATAGACTACTAAAATTTTTATATTATTTTTCCACTGTTGTTTAATCAATTTTTATTTAAATAAATAAGTATAGCTTTACTTTATAATAGTAACACAAAATGAAGTTACTAAATATTTTATATTTACATCTGCATTTTATAATATATATACATCTTCTAATGTTGCTATGAAAATAAGTCGATGCAAATCTAATATTAAAAATAAGTTAAAATCATTTTATTGCTTTGTTTTATTGACAAAAAAATTTTAATAGCCATTGGAAAGTTATGAAAATTATTATATTTTTATCAATTTTATATTTGTTTTTTTAAAAATATTTTTACTGTTAAAAATATTCCACTAGCGAATAGTGTATTATTAACAGGAAATTTTTATCTGTAAATATAAAAATATACATAATGATTTAAAACTGAAAAACAAATTGTTAAATTTTGTCATTGATAAGAATTTTTGTTTTATCATATAATTTCGTTTAATCATATTTTCCATTTAACACTTCTATTGCAGTATTTAAAAAAAATATAATTATCATTGAAAAAAAATGTTTAATTTTAATATAAAAAAAAACTCAAAAATTTCTAACGAAATATATTTTATTTTATACTTTACTTTTCATGAATATGCAATATTGTAATTAACATAACATATGAAAATATATATTTTAATATCGTTTGTATATTTTTATTTTTGACATTAACAATTCTATATAGTTTTTTAAATAAAATAATTCATAATTAGAAAAAGTTCTTTTGCTTTACCTATCTTTTATATCTTTTGACGTAACTAATTTTATAAATCTGATAACTATTTTTACCTTTCGCAAAAATTGATAATAACTGAGCAATATGAGATCAATGGTCATATTTTAAACGTTTTATGAATTTTGATAATATTTTATTCATATGCGCATTTATTCTGTCTGAATAAATATTTTTATTTCTTTTTCTATGAAAACGATAATTTGTAAAATTAAAACTGTACTCTTAATGGACAATTTATTAAAAAAAAAAAAAAAAAAAATTACATTTCTATATCTCAGCAATTTTAAAATAATTTTATACAATTATTGATTAATAAATTGACAGACATTCTTAAAATAAAAATTGATTATTGTGAATGAAGATAAAAATTTATTGGAGATTAATTTTAAAATATATATTTATTCTCATAAAAAATAGAAATAAGTTTTATTTTTAAATACATTTATTTGTTAAAAAAAAAACTAAATATAAATTAATTTTAATGGAAAAAAAAATTTTTTTTTCAATTTTTTGATGATGAAATTTTGTTTAAAAAATAAAAAAATATATTCTTCTATCTATAGAATTGATTCCCTTATTTTTAAAGAGAAGAATATGTAAATTTTGAAGAAAAAAAACAATTATGTAATTTTGAGGTTCACAACTATTTACTGATATATTATTTATAATCTATGCAAATTCTATATAGTGGAAGGTGAATCAGGAACAAAATGTATGAGGGTAAGTAAATCTAGTCACAAACCTCGTTCACCGGCTTCAGTTCAAGCTCGAACGCCATGGAGGACAAATCGAAGCGTCTTGATATCGCGGTTGTTGGTGGTGGTTTGGTTTGTAAAAAATTCTTATTTTTTATAAAAAAAAAAAATTTATTTATATTAGAGAAAAATCATGTTTTGCAAAAACTAATTTAAAAGAAAACAAATTTGTATTTATTGATCCTTTAAAATTAAATTTACTACATTCTAACGTATTAAATTAACTAAATAAACATTAATTAATTTTATTAATTATTTAATGCTGTTAATTAAGAAAAATTAAATTTAACATTATTATGTAAAAAATTTATATTAAAATTTCTATAGTTAAAATTATATTTTTCTAAATTGTATTAAATTACATATTAAAAAGTATTAAATAAATTAATTTAATTTACAATATTTTAATTTATCTTCTTTTAATTCTCTTATGATTATGAAAAATTGGATTGTCAGTTAAAAATTATATTAAATTCTTTTAATTAAGATTTATTAAAATTGAATTTTTGATCATATCCTATAACAAAAACCCATTTTCTAATTGAAATGTAAATAATTGAAATACATTTAAAATAAACGTCAGTTTAGATCTATTTTATAATTATAATATAGATTAAACTGTTATATTTGTATAAGAGATGTAAAAAGTTATAAACTATTTACAGGACCAAATTTTGCAAAAATTAGAATAATTAATTAATTTCCAGAATTAAAAATTTCATTATTACTAAAAGAATAATTAACAAATTTTTTACTCTGAAAAAAATTAGCTATTGTTAATTGAAAAAAATTTTTGCATACAATTTACAGTTTATTATTATTATTATTATTATTATATTAATAATATTATTGTTAATAAAGGGTAATGAAATTTCAGTTAATTTTGTGATATTTTTAAAAATGTAATATTTAGTTGTTTTTGGAAAGAGAATATAATAATAATTTTGTATAATAATGATAAAGTGGTTAAAATGAATAAATACACGCAATTGTAAACTACGTTCACTTTAAAAGCAAATATCTACTGATAACAATTTCATAACAGGAGTTTATAATTAATTTACTAACGTGCATCTGTATATGTAATTAATTTTAAATAAATGAACTATACCTCAAAATTTAGCTGATTTTATTAAATAATGATGGCATGTTTATTCACGTGTTTAGAGATGAGAATTATGAAAATATTTTTGATGTAGAAATATTATAATAATTATTATCGATATTATTATTACCATCATTAATATATTGTAATAATAAATTTAATAATAGTAAATATAATATTAAAAATATTTATTTTATACGTAAACAACAGAATGTATACATATATTAATTATTATTGTAATAATGATTATTATTAAATTTAATTTATATTTTTTCTCGATTAATGTTCGATTAATTTATAGAGGGAATTAAAAATTGGAATAGATTTTTTTTTTGTTATTAATTTTCTTTCGTTTTTATTGACGTTCTTCTGGACCTCACAAGACTTTATAGTATTTTGCGGACTTCTTACTTAATTTTCTTGTTGCTGACCCTTCTTTCTATAATTTAATGCAAATTATCCAATGTTCCAAAATGTGGGATCTAAATCCAAATCTCAATTCTTTCATACTTTCATTAATTGTTTTCTTTAATTTTCTTCAGGATCTTCTAAAAATTTTTCCTAAAGCCACCCTGAAAAAATCAATGTGCCAAAAGCCTTAGGAATTATAGAGAAATTGCACATTTCCGAATATAGAGATTCAATAATTAAACAAAATATTTCAGGAGTTCAGCGCTCTGATCAGTAGCAGAATGAGCTTTTAACTACTTTTGTTAGTTATAAATAGCTCATTCTGAAACTGATCAGAGCGCTGAACTCCTGAAATATTTTGTTTGTTTATACGCGAGATTAAAAAAATCTGCATATCTTTTGGTCACATACTTCAAATGGGTCCGGTCACCTAGGACAGGTAAAAATGACCACTCTTGAGAACAATCTCATTGAATCAATCTTACTTCTACGGTACTAACGTCACGCTTTAAGCTTTGTAGGTTTAAATCATCTGTTAATAAATGCATTTATCCCTCTATTGCTCTCCAACCAATTGTACAACTTTATTTAAAAAAAAACAGATCATCTCTATCAATTAAAAGAACTATGGCTCAGATAAGATTACTAAATGAGTATAATATGTATGTCGAATTATTGCTGATAATTTTGTTATATTGTCTTAAGAAAAATTTTATCTGTACGTCCTGTAATTTGGATTATGATTCGTTGTATCATTGCCTTAGTTCGGAGGCGGATCATCCACAAGGTGCCCGCTGAGTACATTGCCTACCATCATCCATTCAAGATCCTAGAATTTTGTTTAGGCGAAGGGAGACAATGCTAATCGTCACCTCCCGGAGGAGCACTCAGTCTTCTTAATACTGATTTGGTCTTAAGAACTTATAGCGGCAATTTACTGATGCTTAATTCCCTCTGGAGCATCGGTAGTATGGATACTTGCCAAATCATTATCGTGTTCGGCAATCACTGACAGTCACTATGCAAGTGATGCTTTTATTGAGCTGATTTAACAGAATCTATATCCAGATTGGGTAATTTTTACTGCCAGTAGCTGTCAGTGCCTCTCCCGAACACACTCACTGTTGTTTCTCTATGTCGTGTAGTGGTTTCGCTGAAAAGTAGATATTGCTTTGGTGTATCTTGTTATTACCATTCTTTCTTATTCGAAGGAATTAAATTGAAAGAGAACTAAAGGGAACTTAATCTGCCTTATTTCTTCCATTTTTTGACAGGCTCTTGCTTCCAGACAGCGTCTTTCGTATTCTTCCTAATGTCTGTACGGACTTCTTTAACCTGGATTAAATTCCACCAATTCAGATCGTGGAACTTAAGTGTGTTTTCCGTCCGTTAATTTATTCTCTAATTATAAGTCTCCTTTACTGATAGACCTTGCCTCTACCTCATCTCTGGGTTCATATTAACTCTCACAGAACTTTGCTAGATCTCCTTAATTTCTTCATCTATCATCTCCAATTCTAACCCGATTTCTCTACCCTATAGTCTAATAGAAGTGCTCTGCTTTTCTTTTGACTGGTTACCTTATGATGAGAAATAAATTCTAATGAGATAATCAGTACCAATCTCGAAATTTTAGCAAAAAAAATTGTTGATTTGAATAGAACATCATTTTTATGTTATTATTTTCATTCTTCAATTAAGGAGGTACCACCTATTATCGAATAAACAAGCAGTTTTTGGTAAAACTTGATACACTACTAAATAAAGCTTCTAAAATTCTGTAGTTAAATTTTTGAGACCTGTAGGTTCCGGAGAAAAAAGTTCTGATCGATTTATTTTTTCACTGTTTAACATTGATTCTTATAGGAATTCATTACTTTGTCACATATAATTTCATACTATGAAATATTAAACAAACAGATGTTGATCAAAGTTTGTATAGTTGAAGACAGATATGCAATGAACCGGTATTGTATTTAAAAAAGGACAATAGGTTCCTGTGAGAGTTCAAAATAGTTCATTTATAAATTTTTTTTCCACTTTTTGTGATACAGAAAAGATAACTTGAAACATCTGGCAACACGGCATTTCGCGTCTTCACGGTTTCCACCGTGCGCGTGCGCTTGTCAAAGTTTTGAGGTTATGCGCGACAATACAAAACAACAGTTGTTGACAACGTACATAACGTGAGTTGCAGTGTTGCCAGACGTTTCAAAATACCGAGCAAGTCAAATCAGACAAAAATGGTTATTGCTTTGACTAGTTCAGTGAAGGGATGGAACCTCCTTAAACATGTGACTAGGTGTTGAATTCGACATATATTGAATTATTATTAGAATATTATTATTATTATTATTATTATTAGTATTAGTATTATTATTAGAAAGAATTATTAACTGTTTTTATTAATTTTAAATATTAAACGGGCTTTCCTCATTAATATAATTTAATATTTAAAAAAAAATCAATAATCTGCTCCAGATGATTTTTCTCTGATAATATGAAAAGGTTTTAAAATTATATTTATAAATCAAAATTAATTATTTTTATTATTCACAGGTAGGAGCATTAATTGCTTGTTTATTTGCAAAAAGAGATCACAAAATTCGAATATACGAATATAGACCAGGTAAACACACATGATAATAATGATAACAAAATAACTTACGGATTAATATATATATATATATATATATATATATATATATATATATATATATATATATATATATATATATATATATATATACTGCTTTATATTAAAATTTATTAAATAAAATTAAAAAAAAATTTAACTCTGAATAAAAATATTATGTACTGTTATTTTCAATGTTCAAAAAAATATATATTTTATTTTAATTTTTAATAATTATTATAAAATTGTAAAAACATAATTTTGAATAAAATAGAAAAAAATAATATTGAAATAAAAGTAAATAGAAAAAATGAAATATTTTTGAGCGTATAGTGTAATGTATATATGAGAGATTCTTTTTCAATCGCCCCAGCCCAAAAAGTCAATGTTCTGGGATTGGCTTCATACTTTGGTAAATTGTTGTCCTATATGATAGTAATAAATCCCTAAAATATAAACTAATTAAAAAAATATTTGTAGAAAGTAGAGGGGGTTGAAGTTTTGACGTTAAGGGTAACATAGTCATTTTCAAATCCGTTTAACTATGACAAAAGTTAATGGATTTTAATTTATCTATAATGAATTTTATTGCATTTTTCACGTACTTTTCAAAAATGTATACAAAATTTAAAAAAAAAATTTTTTGATCCCTTTTTTTTCAAAATCAACCCTTATTTTTCGATTTTCACCCCTTCGGGAATTTTTTTTTGTTTTTTTTTTATTTTCATTGAAAAGCTGAGGTTTTTTCCCATGAGCTATGTAAATATGAAAATGGGACAACAATAATTTTGTGAGAAACATAATATTAAATAAGGCGGTGCCTATCTAAATCCTCAAAGATGATCTCCAGGTACACCCCTTATCGGCACCACCTACTTTAATATTCTGTTTCACACAAAATTATTGTTGTCCCATTTTCATATTTACATAGCTCATCGGAAAAAACCTCAGCTTTCCAATGAAAATAAATAAAAAAAAAAATACCCGAAGGGGTGAAAATCGAAAAATAAGGGTTGATTTTTAAAAAAAAGGGGTTAAAAATTTTTTTTTTAATTTTGTATACATTTTTGAAAAGTACGTGAAAAATGCAATAAAATTCATTATAGATAAATTAAAATCCATTAACTTTTGTCATAGTTAAACGGATTTGAAAATGACAATGTTACCCTTAACGTCAAAACTTCAACCCCCTCTACTTTCTACAAATATTTTTTTAATGAGTTTATATTTTAGGGATTTATTACTATCATATAGGACAACAATTTACCAAAGTATGAAGCCAATCCCAGAACATTGACTTTTTGGGCTGGGGCGATTGAAAAAGAATCTCTCATATATGCACTTATAAGGTTTTAATATATTTCAGATATACGTGTAGCAGACTTAAGGGGTCAAAGCATAGATCTTAGTCTTTCTCATCGTGGAAGAGCAGCTCTAAGAGAAGTTGGTCTAGAAGATTTGATTATCAATCATCATGCTATGCCCATGCGAGGTAGAATGATACACATGAAAAGTGGAACACTCAGTGAGATGATATATGATCGCGTTCATAAGAACGTAAGTTTTTTTTTTTTTTGCATTTTTTTAGTTTTTACAAAAATAATTCCATACGAAAAATTATATAAAATTAATTATACGTGGTAAATTATAATTAAATTACAAATAAATTAAAAAATATAATTAGAATTTTGAAATAATTTAGTGTCATTAGAAACGTTTTTTTAATTTTCGCAATAATAATAATAATTATGTAACAAGTGGTTTTTAAATGATAAATTATTTTCAGTGTATTTACTCTGTGAATAGAATGTACTTGAACAAAATTTTATTAGATGGTGAGTAAAAATCTCGTTTAAATTTATTTTTAATAATTGTGGTTTCTTTATTTTATGAGTTTTTAAATAACATTAGAGTGTCACCGTCTTTCAATTATATTAGTATATTCTTTTGTCAATAAATATCACACGTTTTTTTTTTTTTAAATATATGTATGTGTAAAAATTTGCATCAGTATACAATTACAAAGTTGCATGCGAAGCCGCAAGAATTCTCCCATATCGTATTACCTTAGTAGCATTGACTTTAAACACGTACATGATAGAATTCCCTCAACGACATTTAAGTTATTGTATTCTCTTTATACAGCAATGGGAGCGATAAATCATTTCTTTTTTTTTTTAATTATCAAATTATATTTTTTTCCAAAAAAAAAAAAAATTAAATTTTATGAAATATAATTTTTTTAGCCGCAGAAAAATCTCCAAATGTGCAATTAAATTTCAATGAGAAGCTTATTGAGGCCGATTTAGAAAATGGAAAAATGAAATTTTTAAAGTAAGATTGAATAAAAAAAACGATTTTCTTTTTACGAAATAAATTATAAAAAAATAATTTCAAATTTCCAGTACAAATACACAGGAAATATTAGAAACAGAAGCTGATCTTATTATTGGTGCAGACGGTGCATTCTCAACAGTACGAAAAATAATGTCAAAACGACCTCGTTATGATTGTGGACAAACGTACATTGATCATGGATATGTGGAACTTTTTGTACCACCTGCTGATGAAAATAAAGTAAGTCACCATAAATTAATTAAGAATTTTTTGATTTATTTACCATTTGAAAAAATAATAATTGACCCAAAATTATGACCCTTTAGTTTGTAATGAGCAGTAATCATTTGCATGTTTGGCCACGAGGTGAATTCATGATGATTGCTTTACCCAATAGTGACAAAAGTTTTACTGGTAATTTATTTGCACCATTTAAAACTTTGGACAGTCTCAATACACCTGAACGATTATTGAAATTTTATCGAGAACAATTTCCCGATGTTTTGCCATTAATAGGAGAAAAAAAGCTGGTTGATGATTTCTTTGAGACAGAGCCAAAAACTCTGATATCAATAAAGGTTGATATTTACTTATTATTATTATTATTAGATAAAAAATTATAGTTTGAAAAATTTTTAAATTAGAACATTAAAAAAATAAAAAGACTTTCTTCAGTAAAAGCACACACACGTTACAGTGTAAACCTTATCATGTTGGAAACACTGCTCTTATCATTGGAGATGCTGCCCATGCGATGGTTCCATTTTATGCACAAGGAATGAACGCTGTAAGTTTTTTTTTCTCGAAATTTTCTTTTACAAATAACAAAATTAGAAGAAGAAAAAAAATTTTTTACTTGTTAGTGTTGGAACTGATAGAAGACTACAAATCCAAAATGGTATTTAGATTTATTTCCCCAGGTTAAGCGTCTTAATTATTTTCTTTATCATCATCATTAAACTTTTTGTAACTCTAAGAATTAATTTACTACTGAATTTTTTTTCTATTTAATTAGGGATTTGAAGATGTCCTCCTACTGGATGAGCTGATGCAAAGATACAATTCGGATCTCTCGAAAGTTTTACCAAAATTTTCAGATATCCGATGTGATGACGCTCACGCTATTTGCGATTTGGCAATGTATAATTATCTAGAGGTAATTTAAACAATTATTTACAAATTCATAAGTGACATTAAAAATTATCTAAGGCAGCAAAAAATCTAATCTTGATGAAATAAAAATTTTTTCAGATGAGAGATTTAGTTGCGAGAAAATCATTTATGTTGAGAAAAAGTTTAGACACAATGTTGTATAGATTTTTTCCCAACAAGTGGATGCCACTATACGATACGGTTCATTTTTCACGAATGGGATTTAGAATGTGTATGAAGAACAGAGCATGGCAAGATAAGGTAGATAAAATGCAAAATAATATTTAAAAATTAATTTGAAAATAGTTTTTAAAATAATTATAAATAATTCAGATAATACGAAGAACAATTTGGTCCGCTGGTATGATGCTGTTGGCCATTTTTCTTGGACTAATGATTCATTAATTTTTTTTTACTAATCTATATTAAAGATAAGTGCTATCAACAAAGAATTCCAAACATATTATATATATATATATATATATATATATATATATATATATATATATATATATATATATATATATGTACATTTATCAATAAGGAGATAATGCTTTTTTAGATTTTTAGAAAAAAAAACAACAAAGAAATAAAATATCATAATCTGTAGGTTTTTATACAATATAATTATTTAACAAATATAGAAAACAAATATACATAAATATATACAATCAGACGATTTTTTTTTCATTTTCACATATTCATATTTATTCAAAAGTTAAAGAAATCCTTTCATGATCAATTAAATATTTAGATTTTTCACTTTCAAATAAATTAATTAAGAGTTGTGTGAATTTTTCATGATATTCGTCAATTTCATCTTGATTTGGATTTTCTATTTTGGGAATTTCCAAAGGAGCGCCAACTAAAAATAAAAATTTATTTAATTATTGTGGAAAATTATAAAAAGAAACTTATCTTTGCAATAAATTAACTCATATAATTATAAGTTTATTATTAAACAAATAACTTTATTTTTAAGTGACCTAAAATAATAAATTATATAAATATATATATATATTTTATATTTACCAACAACTGTAATCGGTTTTCGATGTGGTACAATGCCGAAGGTATATTGAAATATTCCTCGTCCTAATGCTAAAACTGGCGCGATTCCAGTTATTTTTTGCCATTTGTTTTGAAGTTTTCTCAAAAGTGATCCCTCGGGATTATTTATTTGATCGTATAGATCTGTTTCTCCAAATGAAATAACAGGAACCAAGGGTGTTCTAAAAAAGTAAAATTGGAAAAATATTAATGGATTTTAGAATAATGAGGGAATATAATGAATTATTATTTTGTAATTGAATTCTAATAAGCCAAATATTTAGAGGACGCTCTATATTTTAAAAAAGCAATGATAAGTTTAAAAAAATTTAAAAATGTGAAAAGAGCAAGCATTAAAAAAGTCATCATAAAATTATTATTATTATTAATCTAAGAATTGTGACTACGTGACATCCATCGACTCTTGGGTAATCCCTTATACGTCCCTAAAAGCTATATCTAGTTGTGAACCCAAAGCCCTTTCCATAAATGAAGAACTGCAGCCAAACCTACTATTAGCAATAGTTATTTCTCCGAGAAAAAAATAATCTGTAATCTGCTGTCGATTTCTCACAAGTGAGGGGCAACAACAGAGAATATGTGATGAGGTTTCTACTTCCTCTCCACATTTTGGATCTTCCCCATTTTATGTCTATGATAGCGTAAGTCTCCGTTACCAGTTAAAAGGCTTATTACACGGTTTTCGCCTTTTTCCTATTAAATCTACGGAATTCTGCTGCTCTTTTTAGGTCTACATTATTTCCAATGAGTTCCTTGGCTTGTCTACAATCTGTAGTTGCCTGCTATTCTTTCTAATGCTCTGTATCTTGCCACCGCTTAAATTCCCAGACCAGACATTTGTCAGAGTCACCAACTACTGACTTAGGTCCGATAAATTGTTCCCTAGCTTCTGTTTTGGCTAGTGACTTAAGAATTTCATTCAGACCAACGCGTATTCCATTCCCAAAATGAAAATGATTTTGGAGAAATTACAATCTGGAAATTGTAACACTACAATAGATCGAAAATTGTGGCTACCATCTGATGTCGATGGCTGAAAGCAATAAAGATTTATTTACCTTTGATTTATCCTTTAATATATCAAAATTCCCAGCAGGATTGACCAGAATTCTGCTATATTATTGATAATATGGAATAAGACACACAATTGTGCAATTACAACATACGCAATGGCAGAACTTTCGCTTTTCGAGAAAATAATTTTCAGTTTGACGACTTAACTGATGAAGAAACAAAATTATTACAAAGATCTTCTAGAAAACAAGTGTACTCTTCCCTTCTGGGTGAGTGGCAAGAGTGCGGGATACGACCTAATCGCTGGACAACGCAATTCATCACTGGACATGGCAACTTTAAGACTTTCAAAAGCAGATTCAAAATTATAACGGAAGATGAATATAATTGTAGTTGTGGTGAGCCAGACTCATCAGAGTACGTATTAAAGAAATGCAATAAATATAAAAGTATGAGGCTGGAATTCATACATAATATTGGAAACCAAAATTTTACTGAGCAGGATTTAGCAAGTAAAAGTATATCTATTTTCAGGCATTTGAAAAATATGCAGAGCAAAGCTTACAAACATGCATGAGGGACTATAATCTGAATGTTCATGGCCTATCCTTTCCGCTACTTTCGCCAGAAGATAATGATGCGAAGGAAAAACGTCCTTACGATATAGAATTCTTTGTGATGTCTTCTTTTTTTCCACAAGATAGACGATGTCTACAGTGCAAGAAGAGGGTGCCTAATAAAAAAGCGAAGCAGTTAGTTACAGTCATCTTGGCCCCAATAGCACCCAAACAGAAGTGGGCGTGAGTTAGCGAATCGTCACCAATATGGACATCTACTTGTAATGATTTCATAGATTCCTGGGAGTCCTTCCATGAGATCTTTCCAATTAGGTCGAGACTTCTAAATATTATCAGCGGTCTAGGTGCTATTAGCCTAGTGCCTTTCGATTCGGCAATGGAGAACATCAAAAAGATGGAAACAACTATATGAAATTGAAAGTTATGATGCCGGCATAGGCAAGACTTAATAAGACTCTCAAAAAGCTGCACAAGCCTAGGAGCGTTTGGATCAACGACTTGAATTGCCTTACCCAGGAAGCAAAAGAAAATTTTTAACGAGTGCTGGAAGCTTTACTATAGAAGCAAAGTAGTAGAAATAATTATGAAAAAATAGGATCACCTAAAGATGACCTTTATGATTTACTTTATCAGGAAAAGAGTAATGGTCATTAGTTATCATCGGTACCTGGAACGTGACACAAAGGAACAGATTTTAAGCCTATAAATCGCCTACGTGGCTTTAATTCGGAGAAGTCAAATACTATTTCGCAGGAATGGAAGAAATAAAACAAAAAGAAGAAAAACAGAATGGTGCAAGCATGAATGAAGGGATCTCACTTACGACACCAAAAGTCTGACTAAAGTTCCACAGATTAGTCAAAAATTTCAGTAGAACCAATGGAAGACGTTTCCTTAGTGCGATAAGGGTAACTGCAAGAGCAGTCTCCCATTGAACGGATTAGTTCTTCATTAAAGATTCTCCTACTCTTGTCTGTCGTAATCAAAAAAATATTGAAAATTTTTTTAAGAGAAATATTATTTAACCCTCTGCGTTTTCATGTGACCGTTATCATCCATAATCGTCTATTCGGACGTCTAGTTGAAACTATCGTAATTACGTTTTAAAAAGCTATACAAAAGGGATAAGTCAGTGTAGACAGAGGGTTAAATGATAAAATTAGATGTACATTATTAATTAAAACCAAATTAATTAATAAAATTTAAAGTTACAACCAAAATCATCGAAAAGGTTTTAAGAATCTTTTTGGAGGACAAAAAAGTTTTAATCTTCATATGTTATTAGACGGAGAATTTTCTAAGCTTTTCAATGTTTTTAAAATTTTAAAATTTCTAATTTTCTAAATTATCAAGAATAAAAAAAACTATATCCTACCCATGTTTAAGAGCTAATCTAAGAAATCCTTTTCTTCTACGAAGAACAAGTCGATATGTTCCTGGTTTACAGTGTAGAGCCTCAGAAGCACCTCCAACGACAAGAACTGGAGCATTACCTTGTTTTGGAATGATATTAACTCCTGGACGTTGATCAGGTTTATTAGACATTAAATATTCTAAGCTGGCTGCACTCGCACTGCAACAACCTGAAACATTACTTAAATTAATAATATTTTTAAAATGTATTCAAAAAAGGAAAAATTTAATTTAATTTTTCATAGATTTTAAGAATTAGAGGATAAATTTTTTAAGATAAAATTCACGATTTTAAACTCGACAGATTTTCGTCGAAGTTACGATAAAAAATTTTCAAAACTATCCCTTTAAAATAGTGAAGTTAAGCTCACATTCAGTTTAAAAGTCTCTCCTTTAAACAGTTAACATCGCAAAGTAAACTAATCCAAGTAAATTCTACAAGCGGATTTTATCTAAAGGTAAATTACAATGCTACAAATGCATTGCATCTAAATATAAAAATATTTACGTAAAGACAACAAATAGAGTTTGTTTAAGAATTTTAGATTAATTAAAAATAAATACAACATCGTCGAAATATTTTCAGAACGATTAGAACGAAAACTATTTTCAACAAAAATATTTGTCTTGAAACCATAGTAATTGGAAACCATAGTTGGAGTATTTAAACAAAAACGATTGGTAAGTAATTTTTTTTTTTAACTTTTTCGATAGTTTATTTATATTATCTGATAAATTTGAAAATATTTTTCAGTTATTGATCGATGTACAATATTTTTTCAAATTATAACATTAAATTTTTAACACCTGCATTATATAAACGACCCACTTACAAAAAACTATTTTAACTTTTTTTTAAAATATTAAAATTTTTTTTTTTAATAGAGATTGACTTATTTTTTTCAGAGAGGATTAAAATAATAATAAAATAATTTAAAATGTATCATCATTTTTTCATCTTACTAATGGTTTAAAATTTGAAATCTTTAACACCCGGGAAAAACGAGACAATTAAAAGAAGAATACTGCAGTTATTTTTATAATTTTTACGATCGCTGATTACGTTTTAAATTCATTAGATTACAAAACAGACGTTAGTTTTTCAAAATTCAAGATGGCGGAAAATTTTTCTAAAAATTGGACGGAATCGTTTGAAACTGGTTACACGGGGGTTTTCGGTGTCGCTGATAACGAATCTGATGTTAGTTTTTAAAAATTCAAAATGTCCGATCCAACATGGCTGGATATTTTTTAAAAACTAATTGATTTCGTTTGAAACTTTTCATTCGGGGGTTTTTGGGGTCACTGATTAGGAATCCGGTGTTAGTTTTTAAAAATTCAAAATGGTGGATCCAACATGGTGGGAAATTTTTTAAAAATTAATTAATTTCGTTTGAAACTTTTCACTCGGGGGTTTTTGGGGTCACTGATTAGGAATCAGGTGTTAGTTTTTAAAAATTCAAAATGGCGAATTCTATATGGCGGAAAATTTTTCAAAAATTGGTTAATTTTTATTTCAATTTTTGCGTCTGCAACTTCTAATTTTTAAATCTAACAATTCGTAATGTCAGGTTTATTATATTTTTTTTCTTTTCTTTTTAAAGAGATAATTTTTATACTGTAAAGTAAAAAAACCCGTTTTCGACGCGGGTGTTTCTTTTAAAATATTTAAAATGTATTGGAATTTATTCGAGTTAGACGTCACAGCATACAATAGTAAAGAAATACTAGAACGCAGTTTCCTTTTTGTCAGGTCCCACGTGTGCCCACTTGATTCATTGTATAAACGTTATAAATAGAGGAATGTTATACATTATACAGAAGAGAGAAAGATGTTTATATGTCCCAGGGATCGACGATTGAAGAAGGATATGGAATTATTAATGGATATCTCGACTTTTCAATATATTAAATAATAATTCTTTTTTCTTATAAAACTCTTTCTATCACTTTTATTTATATAAAAAATAACATATATATTTTTTGCACTTTTCATATTTCATACACTTTTAATTAATACTAAATTTGGAAAATTCCTTAAATATTATCAAATAAATATTTCTTTGAATTAAATAATTAAAGACTTGAGTTAATTAAATTGTATTTGTTTCAATTACTGTAATTAATGGTTTAAATATAATTAAATTAACTTAAATAATAATTATTTAGTTCAAGGAAATATTTATTTGATAATAGTCATCCCCCACAGTATCGAAACTTTCCTAAAGATTTCCTTTAATATTTATTTGAAATTTTCGGAATATTTAATTGCAATGTTTAGGTGAAAATTGTGTAAAGATTTAAATGTTACGATTAAATAAATGTGTATAGTGTGAAACTTTGTGAAAATTTCATTTAAATGTTCAGGAAAATTTCGCGCTAAACATTTATTCAAGTGGGACATTTAAATATTTACACACAATTTTCATTAAACATTGCAATTAAATATTCTGAACATTTTAAATAAATCTTTAGGAAAGTTTCAGTGTATCTATCTACATTACAATATGTAATTAAAAAGACCTCTCACTTACCAAAACTTGCTGGTAATTCCCTTAAAATAGGAACACTAAAATGTTGTTCCAAGGTGAGCAACCTGAAATCCAATCCAGGAAAAAGTTCTTGACATTTCAAAACGTCAGTTCCAAACGCACAAAATATTCCCGTTGACAATACTCCATGTGGAAATGAACAAAATAAATAATTTCTCGATGGATCCAAATCTTTTGTTTTTACTAATTTTATTGGAAAATAATCACGAAAATAATGCCACCAAATGCAATTTCTCATCCATTTTGTGTATTTTTCACTGAAAGGAATTAAAAATTTTTATATTTTAAAAATACGTTTTCATCTAGATATTATCAATAATGTTGGATAATTTTTAATAAAATTTTTTTCTATTAAAAAGAATGAAACAGTAAAATGTAAAAAAAATTACAAAAATTAAATATTTAAAAATTTCCTTTTATTTATTAAATTAGGATAAATTAAACTTGTTTCCTATACCTATTTAATACAGTAATTAAATTCATTTACCGAAACTTTTTTTTACATCCTTTATCATTTATTTAGTATTCCTAGAAATGTCAAGAAAGAAATGAGACTAATTTTCAATAAATTAAATTCAATAGAAATTTATAATTCATTAATTTTTTATATATTTTTTGTCATTTGTGAGATTTCTTCAACTGAAATTTATATTTATGAAATTAAATTCAATTATTAAAATAAATTAGATATTATTAATTTCATAAAACATTTGAATAACTAATTAACATTTAATTTTTCAAAAAAAATTATTATAAATAAATTAGAAATTTTAGAGTAATTGAATAAAAAAAAAAATTTTTTTTTTAAATTTACTACAAATTATTAAAATTAAATGTTAATTTAAAATTATTACTACCAAAATTATTACAAAAAAATTAAATACCAATAAAAGACAAAGTATCCCAAAAAAATTCTAAAAATATTAGGTATAAATAAGAATTAATTTTTTACATTAACTTTCTGAATGGTACCACGTGAGTCAAAATATTTATTATGCTAAAATATTTATTGTTTACCTTCGTCCTCCTTCAATGCAAGAATTTCGATCGCAATACATGAAGAAAAAATAAATAAAAAGAGGAATTCGAAGCCATGGAATAAATAATAAAATAATTGCAGCAAGTATATAACCAATAATATTTCCAAATGCAAAACTAATAATCCATGCTGTTGCCGCAAGAGTTTGTAATCTTCTTCTTAGTGGAACATTTGCCGGTGCAAAGTTTAGACCAAAAATTTCCATTTTCTATATATATATATATTTATGTATTCAAATAAAAAAATTAAATTCAATCACAAAATTTTTCATCACTATTTTGTTAAATTTTATTACTAATCATTTTATTTATCACTAATATATATATTAATCATCACCAACAATAACATTGAATTATCAATCAATAATTATTGTTATTTATTTTCATTATTATCAATCACAAAAAATTATCAATTAACTTTTTTTTCCACAAAAAAAACACACAAATACTTGAATGAAAAAAAAAACCTATATGTTTAATGAAATAAAATGTATTCAAATGGAAATTGACAAAATTTTACAAAGTCATCTATTGAATTTTAAATTAACACTCTCGAATAAAATAAAAACAATGAAAAATATAAATAATTAAAATTCTGATATGTATATTTCATTGGAAAAAATAAAAAATAAAAGAATTAGAAAAATAATAAGCTTTAACGTGAAAAAAACATTTTAACACGAGAAAGTCTTCTGTTATACTGATGAAAAGATGAGCTATTCGAATATAAGCTAGGTTTTACATGATAGTGACTCATCTCAAATGACCGGCTTTCAGACAAGGACAAATATGCTTTTAAATACTTGGAAAAAAAAGTGAAATTCTCGTCCAAAAAAAAAAAAAAAAAAAAATTGTCGATGTGTTATGTGATGACCATTGACATCGACGTCACTATTATAAAAAGACAAATATATATTTTCAATGTGACATTGTAATATTCTTCATTATATAAGAAAATTGTAACAAAAAAAATTATATATCAGTTAAATATATTGTTAAATAATAATAATAGGGAAAACAAATAATTGTAAACAATTATAAACCACAAAATCATACTATTTAATCAGTTATGTATAATTTATATTGATAAATAATTATAAACAATTAAATATGTTTTCTTATTTACAAAATAATTGTTTATTAAACTACTTATCAATCAAAAATACCAGTAAATATGAGAAGAAATTAAAAGAAAAGTTCTGCATTCTAAATAATTATTTAAGTTAAATGACAAAATAATAAACGAGAATTATTTATTTTAGTAAACTTTTTATTATTTTCACTTTCATTCTCACTTTCATTTTGACTTCCATTTTGACTTTTATTTTCACTTTTATCTTCACTTTTATTTTCATTTTTATTCAAAATTAAACTTTCACTTTCATTCTAATTTTTATTTTTATTAAAAATCACTGAAAAATGAAAAGTGAAAATAAAATTTTAAGTCAAAGTCAAAATGAAATTATATAATTGCTCTGAGCAACGATGATTTTTAAAAATTATTTTTTTGGTACGTCTAAAAAACGCGGGACGTGAACAGTTATTAAGTCATTAATAATGTAGACTTAAAAAAAATAAGAAACTTCTCAAATAGCACGAAAGCTTGTAGCAACGTTGCGGCAAGCTTGCCGCAAGGTTCAAATTTTCCACCTGACCGAAAGCTTGCATGGTAAGCTCACCGAAAGATTGCAGTGTGAGGTTACTGTAAGATTGAACAATAAGATTACCGTAAGATTGCTCAATAAGCTTGCACGGTAAGCTTGTAGCAAGGTTGATGCACGGTTGCCTTCAAGCTTACTGAGCAATCTTGCGATAATCTTATCGTGCAAACTTGCAGTAACCTTACACTGCAATCTTTCTGTAAGCTTACCATGCAAGCTTTCAGTCAGGTGGGACATTTGAAGCTTGCCGCAACGTTGCTGCAAGCTTACGTGCTATCTGGGTATGTTAAAAACACTTTTTTAAAAATGTATCAAAAGAAATTTATATTATATTTTAATAATACGAAATGAAGAAAAAAAAATCACTAAAGCAAATTTTTTTAATTCTTCAGGTAAAAATAAAAAGAAATTTTAACGAGTAAAAATTTTGATAACGTTAAAATTTTTTACAAGTCATTTTAATTTTATCTTTAAGACATTGTTTAGTTTTTATTATAATTAAAAAATACGTCTAACACTTGTGAACATGTGCTTGCAAATAATTGAATTCAATATTTTTTGAATAAATTTTCAGTTAAACTATAAAAAAAACTTTAACCTAATATCACTTTAATAATACATTAAAATTCAATTTTTTCTATGTTAAAAAAAATATATATATATATATTAAGAATATAGTAAATAAATATTAAATAATTAATATTTTTTTATTACTTTTATCAAAATGTTTTTACTCTTTAAAAATATAGAAAATAACAAAATTACTATTGTCTTTTACATTTCTCACGCTATCGATTTACAAAAATCCAAACATAAACTGACTGATTAATTAGGTCAACAAAATTTTGTTATCTTATCTTATCCTACATATAAGAATTCCCAAAGTTAAGAATAATATCTTCAATGTCAAATATTCAATTATTCAATGTGATTTTATTAATAGTTACAAACATTTTTTATTTAAAAATTTCAATTTTAGTGAAATATTTTTTTAAAAAATTAAGAAGAAGTTTTATTACTTTCCCTTTCATTTTTTCAAAATGTTTTCCACTTTCTCATTCCAAATATCATTTTCACTTCCACTCTCACTTTTACTTTACGAAAATTATTTTTTATTTTCTCTTTTTCACTTTTATTCTCACTTTTAAAAATGTTTTTTTGTTTTTAAATGATAGAACATGTAATTAATTTAATTTTTTAGACAATTGATTTGTATTGTGAATAAATTAATAGTATAAAATTTGAAAATATTTTTAAAAAAAGAAAAATAGTGAAAATTTTTTTAAGAAAATTTGGATATTTTATTTTTAATTTGAAAAAAATATAATAGATATTTTATTTAAAAACTTTTATTCAATTGATAATTTTTTAATTTATTTTTGAAAAAAGTTTTTTTAAATAGCTACGACTTTGTACTCCCTGCATGCTTCTGCCATCTGACGGCGGCAGGAAGTAGCGAAATAAACTTAAGTAATATTACTATATTATTTTAATAATCAGGTATAGAAGGACAACTAATACAATAGGGTGTCATAAATGGTTTATTATGACTAGACATCCAGTCGACTCTGTTTGTTGTTATCTCTCCTTATTTTTCTTTTGGAGTATTTAATATATATTAATTTAATATTTTAACACATATTTAGTTTTAGAACACATTTATGAACAAAATTCGAAAATTATTGTTTTCTCTAACTCAGAATTAAATTATGAACAGATTAAAAATTCAATTAATTTCTGACCAAAAAATTCGATACGTAAAATTAATTTTTTTACAAAATATAAAAAAAAAATTATTTCACAAGGGATTAATGAAAAGTAATTTTACGCCAAAAAATTTATGTAAATTTACTCAAAAAAATAATTAAATTAAAAAATTTAAATATCTAAATTATAGATTATCTAATTAATTTTCTTTTTCACCAATAATTTGTATTGCGAATAAATTAATAGTAGGTATATAAATTGACTTAAAAATGTTCTTTAAATATTTTTTAAAATTGAAAAAAGTGAACATTTTTTTAAGAATATTTGGATATTTTATTTTTAATTTGAAAAAGTAATAATAGATATTTTATTTAAAATCTTTTATTCAATTGATAATTCTTTAGATTATTATTGAAAAAAGTTTTTTTTAAATAGCTGCGACTTTGTGCTCCCTGCATGCTTCTGCCATCTGATGGCGGCAGGAAGTAGCGAAGTAAACTTAAGTAATATTACTATATTATTTTAATAATCAGGTATAGAAGGACAACTAATACAATAGGGTGTCATAAATGGTTTATTATGACTAGACTTCCAGTCGACTTTGTTGTTGTTATCTCTCCATATTTTTCTTTTGAATATTTTATATTTTAATTTAATACTTTAACACAAATTAACTTTTAGATCACAATTATAAACGAAATTCCAAAATTATTATTTCCACTAACTGAGAATTAAATTCTAAACAGATTATAAATTTAAATTAATTTCTAACCAAAAAATGCTGTACATAAATATAAATTATTTATAAAATATAAAAAAAAATTATTTCAGGACAATTATTGATTCATGAAAAAGAATGTTACGCTATAAAATTTAAGCAAATTTATTCAAAAAAATAATTAAATTTAAAAAATTTAAATATCTAAATGATAGAACATCTATTTAATTTTCTTTTTTACCATCGAGTTGTATTGTGAATAAATTAATAGTATAAATTGACAAAAAATGTTCTTTAAATATTTTTTAAAATTGAAAAGAAGTGAACATTTTTTTTAAGAATATTTGGATAATTTATATTTATCTTGAAAAAATATAATAGATATTTTATTTAAAATATTTAATTCAATTGATAATTTTTTAGTTTATTTTTAAAAAGAGTTTTTTTAATATCTGCGACTTTGTGCTCCCTGCATGCTTCTGCCATCTGACGGCGACAGGAAGTAGCGAAATAAACTTAAGTAATATTACTATATTATTTTAATATTCAAGTGTAGAAGGACAACTAATACAATAGGGTGTCATAAATGGTTTATTATGACTAGACTTCCAGTCCACTCTATAGTTATCTCTTTTTTTTTGGAATATTTGATATTTTAATTTAATATTTTGACACAAATTAACTTTTAGATCACAATCCTGAAAAAAATTCGAAAATTATTGTTTCCTCTAACTCAAAATTGAATTCTGAACAGATTAAAAATTTAAATAAATTTTTAACCAGAATATGCGAAACAATGTATTTGTTTATATAAATTTTACATGGATTGAAGTGAGGATTTTTATCGCAAAATAATTGTTTTATGGAAAGGAAATTTAAAAGCAAAAATTCAAAGTAAATTTATAAAAAAAACATTTTTTTTGCCCAGAAATAACTGCACAGTGGGCAAAAAACCATGTTCGTTCTAAAAACGTTTTATGAACGTTTCATGTCGGTCAAATAATGTTCTGGAACATTATTTGAACATTCTTGTTCTTAAAATGTTCCAGAACATTATTTGGCGGAAATGAAACGTTCTTAAAACGTTTTTAGAATAAACATGGTTTTTTGCCCATTGGGTGTAAAGTGTGAATGTTTATAAATTTTTTTTACAGAAATGATAAAAATTAATTCCTGCATGCTTCTGCCTTCTGACGGCGGCATCACGAAATAAATCAGTCATTATATTACTTTTCCTTTTACAATCGCGTTTTTTGTATTGATTCGAAGAATCTTTCGGATTAAGAAATTTATAAGATAAGCATCCTTGGTATTTTGACCGATTTTATAAAAAAATGTTAGTGTTTCGAGAAAAATGTATTTTAAAATCAATGTTTATCATTTTCACGTTTAGTGCCGTTTTTATAAGGGGATAATTAAATTCTTTGCCAAAAAATTTCAAAGACCGTTCAATACTCATAGCAAAATTTATATTCAGCGGAATTTAAAAAAAAATTTAATTTAGTAAAATTTTTCTTCAAGCAACTTTATAATTGAATATATTTTCAAATATTAATATAAAAAAAAATTATAAAAAATTATGAAATTAAATAAATTATTAAATAAATAAATTAAAATTAAATTA